AAGGCAGCTGCGGGCTCACTCCCGAGGGCTGGGCTCGGATGGGGAGCTCGGGGACAGCCGGAGGAATGGTCAGTGTCTGCGTGTACCCTCACCCCCTTTTTGGAGCGGGGTGGGGGGGACCTGCTTGAGTGCACCCCACATCCTGGTGGTCCTGGGGTTGGACGTCTCGGCGAGGTGCTGGGTGTGGGTGGAGGACTCTGGTGCAGAAAGGTCCCAAAGCCTTTTCACCTGTGAGCATCTCTGCTGGGAGAGCATCCCTGGGACCAGCCTGTCCTGTCCTGGCATGTGGCTCTGGCTGGAGCCAGCGGGTGCAGCCGGCAGTCACACACTCATGGTGCCATTGTGTTTGCTGTCACCGGTGTCACACGTGCTCTCGGGGTCAGGTGTGAGTTTGGGATGTCCCCACTGCCCACACGCAGCTCCCAGGTGGGCGGCAGTGGGTGAACACGGAGATGTGAGGGCTCTGCTTGCTCTGAGAGGGCTCTGAGAGGAAGAGGAGGGGGTGATCTGTGTTGGGTTTTGGAGCCTGTTTGGAGGTCACTTTTTTGGAGGGGCTGAAGGCACCCTTGGGTTTGGCCAAGCTCCTCATGCCCCAGACAAGTGCGTGGTTGAAGGGGGGCAGGAAAAGGGCTGTGGTCTGCAATACCTTTCCTGTGTTGGTCCAAGAGTTGCAGCCACCCTTGGCCTGCAGCGTCCCGCCACTGATGTTGGAGGGGTTTGAAGGGGCTGGCCCCGCGTCCTGTGAATTTCAGCTCTCTCTTCTCACCGGTGCCACCCTGAATCTTTGTCCTGTCACAGAAAGAAAGGAGGGTGGAGCCGATGCCGCATCCTGCACCTCCATACGTGTGGCTCTGGGAGGGTCCCCTGCAGGGATGCCCTCGGGGAGAGACCCAGTGGCCAGATAACCCCACTGCCATGAGAAAAATCCTTTCTTTTGGATCAGTCTGAGCTGGGTGCTGCAAGGAGCTCCCTGATGGGCAGTGGTGGGAGAGCCCAGGTGGGCACCGCTGATGGGTGCGTTTGAAGAAGGTTTAGTTCTGTTCCTAATTAAGAGCTGCCAGGTAATGAACAAGGGGGTGCTGGGCCGGTGGAGGGTTGTGGGTGCCTCCCTGCCGGTGTGGAGGGTCCCATCCCGGTCCATCACCCCAACCTGGGTCTGCTGCCGGGTGCTGGGTCCCTGCATCCCTCTGGAAACCCAGCCCTGGGGCTGGAGGAGGTAACGGCAGCATCGGCGGAGCGGCAGATTATAATGGCTTGGGGGGTTAGTGTGGATTCAGATTAGGAGATTATTGTGAATTCGGATAAGGATTAGGGGGTTATTGCAGATTTGGATTAGGAGATGATTGCGGATTCGGATTAGGAGATGGTTGTGGAGTTGGATTTGGATTAGGAGGTTATTGCGGATTCGGATTAGGAGATGATTTTGGATTTTGATTCGGATTAGGAGATTTTCGTGGATTAGGGTCTTATTGCAGATTCAGATTAGGGGATTATAGCAGATTTGGAGATTATCGTGACTTGGAATTAGGATATTATTGTGGATTAGGAGATTATTGTGATTTAGAATTAGGATATTATTGTGTATTGGCAGATTATCACAGATTTGGGGACTATTGCAGATTACGATTAGGGAATTATTGTGGATTAGGATTATGAGATTATTGTGAATTAGGAGATTATCATTAATTAGGAGATTATAATGAATTAGATTATCATGGATTAGGATTAGGAGATGATCCTGCAGGTCCCTGCCTCCTGCTGCAAAGGGATCTGTCCTTTGAGACCCCTGCAATGGGTGTATTTTGGGGGTTAATAAAGTGGTTTTGGGGCAGTGGGGGCTGGGTCCTGGCACCCTTCACCCTGCAGTGCTGGAAGGAGGAATCCAGCGAGCAAACAGCTCACGTTGCCTTTCCACAGGCGCCCAGGAAAATACAGGAGGTTCGCATCTTCCCCTTTGTCTGCCCCTTAATTAAGGGGAGGTAATTGTACTAATTGGGGAGCTGGGGGGGGATGGGGGAGGAGGAAGCCGTGGCAGTCAGGAATACGCTGGCATGCAGAGACACGTGCGTCTTGTCACGTGTGGGTCTGGGATTCGCAGCCAGGGCCGTGGGGCTGAGAGGAGACAGAGCCTGCGGGTCCCTTTCGCTGGGGAAACGGGTCACAGCACCTCCTGGCACAGCGAGGCAGAGGGGAGACGCAACATCCTCCTCCCCATCCTTGCCCTTTCGCCCTGGGGTGGAGCTGGTGGCCCCACTCCAAGCAGCTCCGTGGGCTGGGGAGGGACCTCTGCCCCATGCGTCGTCTCAAACTGCACCTCTGGGCGCTTCTTCCAACTTCCTAAGTTGTTTTTTTCACAGCATGATGCTCCAGGTGGAGCATCCCCTGCCATGGCATCTTTGGGTCCCCTCTTGGATGCTCCCTCAACACCCAAGTGTTCAAAAACCTGTGGATGTGGCACTTGGGGACATGGTTTAGTGGGCACGGTGGGGTTGGGTTGATGGTTGGTCTTGATGATCTTCTAAGATCCTTTCTATGAAATGGGGTTGGCAAACGGCCGTGCCAACCTGGGTCTCCACTTTGCCCAAACCATGACCCATCTCAGCACCCCAGAGCTCTCCTGCAGGTCCTGTGGACCATTCCCATGTCTGTTGGCTCTCCCCATGGTTTCCAGGAGTCTCCTCCTGCTTTTCCTGGTAGCTACCAAGTCCTGGGCAGGTTCCCAGACTCTGGAGGTGCCCTTCTCCTCCCTCATCACCCCATGACTGTGCTGCTTCCTTGCAGATCTCCGACATCTACATCAGCGGGGAGTCGGGGGATATGTCAGCCAAGGAGAAGCTGCTGCTGTGGACGCAGAAGGTGACGGCGGGTTACATCGGGGTGAAGTGCACCAACTTCTCGTCGTGCTGGAGCGATGGGAAGATGTTCAACGCGCTCATCCACAGATACAGGTAGGCACGGGAGAGCATCGGCTGGGTGGGAGCATGGGCTGGGGTCCTTCTGGGGGTCCCTGCCCACCGCTGCGGTTGGGGATGGTCCGTGCTGGGAGATGGAGGTGAGTCGTGCAGGGAGCAATGGTTTCCATTTTACCTGGGAATCATCTCTTCTGCTGTGTAGTCGGGGGATGGATGCTTGAAAAGAGCAACAAATACATCAGGTTTTGAGAAAAAAAACAACCATCCTGGGGAAAGAGGTGATAAAGGAAAGCTTTGAAACTGGGAGAGCGGCGGTGTTTTGTGTGTCACACACACAGAATCACACAGAATCGCTCGGTTGGAAAAGCCCTCTGAGATCATCACGTCCAACCGTTCCTGTCTACCCCCTAAACCATATCCTTAAGTACCTCATCTACCCGCTCCTTAAACACATCCAGGGATGGTGACTCTACCACCTCCCTGGGCAGCCTGTTCCAGCTTCTGACGACCCTCTCAGTAAAGAACTTCCTCCTTATCTCTAACCTGAAAGTCAGTGCTGCCTTGCCGATGCCGTGACCCTGGTGCGTGTCTTGCAGGCCGGATCTGGTGGACATGGAGAGGGTGCAGATCCAGAGCAACCGGGAGAACCTGGAGCAGGCCTTCGAGATCGCCGAGCGGCTGGGGGTCACGCGGCTGCTGGACGCCGAAGGTGGGCGATGGGGGAAGCGGGTGGTGATGGAAATGCCAACCTCTATGCCCACTCCCATTCCTCACTGCCTTTCTGCTTCCCCCTTGCCAGACGTGGACGTCCCCTCCCCGGATGAGAAATCCGTGATAACTTACGTGTCTTCAATCTACGATGCCTTTCCCAAAGTCCCCGAGGGAGGAGAAGGGATCAGCGCTATCGTAAGCATCGCTGCGGCTTGGGAGGCTGGGACAGCGATTTGGGGAGGATTTTTGTTGTGGGAAGCACAGACTTCCAGGGAGCAGCTTGCAAGGGGGATCCTCATCCTCCTCCTCCTTCCTGTACCTGGGGTGGCATCACAGCAGGAGAATGGTCCCCGTAGCTGTGCCCATGGCCAGGCTGTGCCCGTCCCCTGCACAGTCCTGCCCGTTGGCAGTGCTCTGCAAGGATGCTGTCGCCCTGCAGGAGGTGGATTCGAGGTGGCTGGAGTACCAGAGCCGCGTGGAGTCCCTCGTCTCGTGGATCAAGCAGCACACGATACTCATGTCAGATAAATCCTTCCCCCAGAACCCTGTAGAGCTAAAGGTAGGTCCCTCTGCAGCATGCTGTGTGCTGAGAGCTGGGTGGTGGCGTTCCCCAGGGTGGTTGCTGATGAGCCTTTCTCATCCCAGGCACTTTATAACCAATACATCCACTTCAAAGAAACTGAAATCCCAGCGAAAGAGCAGGAAAAAGGAAGGATAGAGGAGCTCTACAAGCTGTTAGAGGTAAATAACCAGCATGGCTACCCAGAAGCTTTTACAGGTGGGAGTGTGATGCTTCTAGCAAAACTAAAGTGTGCTTGGTTTGGGTTTATTTTGGAATGGAGCAGTGGAAATAACCCCGAGGGTAAACGCTGGAGCAAGCAGAGCGCTGCAGGAGCGGAGGCTGAGCTGTTGCATTACAGCCCCGCTTTCCTTGCTGTAGTTTCTCTCTAGCAGCTCCATGAGAAGGTGGAAAATGCCCTTCTCTTGATGTTTTCCCCAGGTATGGATTGAATTTGGACGCATCAAGTTGCCCCAGGGCTACCACCCCAACGACGTGGAGGAGGAGTGGGGCAAGCTCATCATAGAGATGCTGGAGCGCGAGAAGCTCCTGCGGCCGGCGGTGGAGAGGTCGGTGCCCTGCCCGTGGTGTCCCCTGTGGGGTCATCCCCTGCTCCCCAGAGCCTTCCTCTCATTCCCTTTCCCCTCTCTTGTCACAGGCTGGAGTTGCTGCTACAAATCGCTAACAAAATCCAGAATGGTGCTCTGAGCTGTGAAGAAAAGCTCACTCTGGCGAAGAACACGCTGCAAGCTGTGAGTGTGGGGGTATTTCCCCCCTCCTAATTCTTTAATTTTATTCGTTTCCTGCCTCTCCTTTTATGCCCCTATCTTCTGCATGGTGTGGTGGGTTCCCCTGGCCCCTTTCTCTTCTGGCATTGAGGGGCTATGGTGGGTACCTGGTGATCTGTGACACGAGGACCTTGCGGACAGGGGGATGGAGGAATGGCCTTGCCATGCAGCCATTGCCTCTGGGGATGCAATTTGGAGGTTGCAAAGCTCAAGCTTAAGGATTCAAAGGTCCTTTTGGTCTTGAAGTTGATGTTGTGATGCTGTCCTGTCCTGTTCTCTCTGCCTGTGTGCATGGGCCGAGGGGATGCAGCCCTCAGTGTCTTCTCCTCTCGACGCAGGACGCTGCTCACCTGGAGTCAGGCCAGCCCGTGCAGTACGAGTCCGACGTGGTCGTGTACCTGCAGGAGTGCGAGGGGCTCATCCGCCAGCTGCAGGTGGATGTGCAGATCCTTCGGGATGAGAATTACTACCAGCTGGAAGAGCTGGTGTTCAGGTGAGAGAGACCATGTCCGGGATGGTTTGTAGATGGAAGAAACACGGTCGGGGGGTGATGCGTGGGGTTCCTCGCCTTGCTGCAGGGAAGCAGGGGGGTCTGTGTGCATCTTGTCACCCTCGCACCCTTCTCCAGGATCATGCGGCTGCAGGACGAGCTGGTGACGCTGCGGCTGGAATGCACCAACCTGTACAGGAAAGGCCACTTCTCCACCCTGGAGCTGGCACCCCCCTCCACGCTCAGCACAACGCACTTGAAGGGCGAGTCCCTGACCAAAGGGCTCCACACCTCCTCTGCCTCCTGGTTCCGAAAGCCCATGACCAGGACGGAGCTGGTGGCCATTTCCTCTTCCGAAGACGAAGGCAGCCTCCGGTTCGTGTACGAGCTGCTGGCGTGGGTGGAGGAAATGCAGGTGAGTGCTGCTGCTCTGCCTCCACAACCTGGGCCAGGTTACCTGTCCCGTTCACACTGGTGAGGGGAGGGAGGAAGCTGATCTGGGCTTTTTCTGCCTTTATCTGTGAATAATTGTATTCAAAGTGTCTGGAAAGCAGCAATGCTTTTGTCTTGAGTTGGGTTTTCTGTCTCATGATCTTGCTGATCAGTGGGTATCAGAAATCCTTTCAAATCCAGACTGATGCCGTCAGTCCTTTGGTTTTCTATGGGTGTGAAGCCTGTGTGGGCTATCCCAGAAATCCTTCACTGCTGGAGCACTGGCTTAGGACCTTCTGCCAGATCTGCTGTGGTGTTTGTTCCCTCTCGAGTGACCAAGGAGCTTTCCTTGCCCTCGTGTCCGTTTGAGACCTGCTCCTGCAGGTGAGGAGTGCTGACGTGGCCCTCTTGGCCTGTTTCAGATGAGACTGGAGCGGGCAGAGTGGGGCACCGACCTCCCGAGCGTGGAAACCCAACTGGAGACCCAGCGGCACGTCCACACCAGCGTGGAGGACCTGGGCTCCAGCGTAAAGGAGGCCAGGATGTACGAGGTACACGGGCTGGGTGTGGGCACTGGGATCAGCTCTTGTGGGTAAAGGTGCCTGAGGAAGAGAGATTTTTGAAGGATGGAGCATCTGAATTGACACTGGTACAAGAGGCTGCTGCCCTGAGCCGTCCTCTGCGCCTCCCCTTGCTCACACAGAGCTAGGGAGAAAGATTTGGGGATGGGGTTTGGAGCGATGCTGTCCTGCATTGGGTAACAGGAGGATTTTTCATCCTTCAGGGTAAAATGTCTCAGAATTTCCGCGCTAGCTACACCGAGACGCTCGGCAAGCTGGAGACGCAGTACTGCAAGCTGATGGTGAGTGGGCTTCGAGTGGGTTTATAACACCCTGGGCCCATCCCTGCTGCCCTGCTCCTGGGTATCTCTGCTCTGAGGCCAGGGAGGGGGCGAGGAACCGATGGGATTCAGAGCAGGGGAGGGCAATGACGCTTCCTTGCGCTCAGGAAACCTCGAGTTTCCGGCTGAGGCACCTCCAGAGCTTGCACGGGTTTGTGGCGCGGGCCACGGCGGAGCTGATTTGGCTGAATGAGAAGGAGGAGGAGGAGCTGGCCTACGACTGGAGCGACAACAACCCCAACATCGTGGCCAAGAGGAGCTACTTCTCGGTGAGTGATCCCCAGGGCAGGGCTGGTGGGACGGGTGCTTGCTTGGTTGTGCTGCTGCTGCCTTTAATCTGCTGCGGGACCTTCAGCTGCCACGGAGCTGGAGTCCTCAGAGCTTTGATGGTCTCTCCCAAGTCACTGTTTTTGTAGCTCGTGAGCGCAGCTGATGAAAGAGCAGAGCAGAAAGCGCAAAAAAGTGTTTGTTCAATTGAGTTTCAATCGAAAAGGCATCAAAAGATGGGATTTTCGTGCTATTTGGAGCTAAAGGCGTCTTTAACTAGCAAGGGAAATATAGTCTGAGCTGAAGAGAAAAATTGATTCCTCTTTAAAGCTGTATAAATAAATTGTTGTCTTTCACAATCGCCCTGGAGAGGTCCCTGGGCAGGTTTCCAGTATCTGCGCTACATCTGCCCCATGTGTTTGGTTGTGATGGTGCTCCCATAAGCCGTGCTGGTTTCCTTGCACTCCCCATACTGCTGGCCACGTGCTCGGAGGGACGCTGCTCCCCATAGCCGAGATTTGGACGTTTTGGTTGTGTCCTTCCTGCAGGAGCTGACAGCGGAGCTGGAGGAGAAGCAGGACGTCTTCCGCTCCCTCCAGGACACGGCCGAGCTGCTGTCCCTGGAGAACCACCCGGCCAAGCAAACCGTCGAGGTGAGCACACACACATGGAGGGGTCGGGGAGAGCCCCAAGGTTTGGCTGGCAGCAAATCCCCTTACCTGGGATTGGGAACCTTTGCTGTCCCACCCCATGATGCCCTTACAGGCAGCCAGGGCTGATGAAGTGTTTTGTGGTGGCACAGGGACATCAGTTTATTCTGGGGAGGGCAATGGGAAGCTCGAGGCCGTTCCCAAATCAAATTAAGGCACAGAGAGGCTTGCACGGAGCACGAGGTGATGCAGGGAACGGCCTTGGCTTGCTTGGAGCTATCCAGGCTTGCAGGAAAACCGTGGTGGTGCAGCAAAGGGCAGCAAGGACGTCTTTCTCCCTGGTGTTTCTCTCTGGGGTGGGAGAAAGCAAACCTGGGCCAGGTCCAGGCTCTGCCATCTCCTGCTCTTCGTGCCTGTGTCCAAACCCTCCTGGTTTCAGCCAGATCTTGCCCGTTAATGTACATCCCCCCCAGCTGTAGCTGTGTCCTTCCTGTGACCCTCCCGGGCTCATTATTGCTCATGTAAGTCACAAGTAAATTCCCATTATTCATCGCCGTTTGGTGCCTGTGTGTTTCCCAGGCCTACAGCGCTGCCGTGCAGACCCAGTGGCAGTGGATTAAGCAGCTCTGCCTGTGCGTGGAGCAGCACGTGAAGGAGAACGCCGCCTATTTCCAGGTACGTGAGAGGGGCAGCCCAAATTTCCCCTGGTCGCCATCCGCTGCATCCCACTCTGTGAGCTTCATACACTGCTGCTCCCTTCAGAAAGAGGATTTTTGATGCTCATGGGGCTGCTTTCTCCTGAATCATCTCCTCTTCCTTAGCTGCTCTCTGGGGGTGTCTCGCTAGGGCAAAAGAGATCAACTTCCACGTAGTTTTGGCCATCCATGTGGGATGCTTGCTCCGTGTGGGAGGCCAGGATAGCACTGGGAGTCACTGGTTGGGATGCTGGGGTGATGCCTTGCCTGCGGTGCTGCTGGCTGCCCTGTGGACTTGTGCAGGTTTCCGTGACCCCCTTTGCCTTTGCAGTTCTTCAGCGATGCCCGGGAGTCGGAGACCTACCTGCGCGCCCTGCAGGACTCCATCAACAGGAAGTATTCTTGCGACCACAACACGAGCCTGACGCGGCTGGAGGACCTGCTGCAGGACTCCATGGTGAGTTCCCTGACAGTGGCCTTCTTGCTCTGGTCCAGCAGTGTTGCTTGGGGCACTTCTTACTTCCCAGGGAAAACTGGGCTCGTTTTATTCCTCCAATGACCCAGTTTCGTGTAATGTGGTTTGTTTCCCCACTTTGGTTGATGGTGGAGCTGCTCTATGCGTTGCACGTGGCTGCGGGGATGTGTTGCTGCCCGTGGTAGCCAGATCTTGGTCCTTATGGGGTCACTCATGGCAATGGCCAGCATCTTTCTGTATCCTTGGGGAGAAGAGCAGGCTATGTGAGTTCATAGCTTGAGACGTGGAAAAGTGAAATATCTCAGCTGCTTCCTCCCCATCCCAGTCTGTGGCTGCATGGAGCCCGTCATGTTCTGCTGATGGAGGTGTCACATAGAGCCCGGAGGATGCTCCTGTTTCTGCTAGGAGCGTGCTGGGATGCGGAGAAATGCCTGCTCTTTATCCAGACCAAATCCCGTGTTAATCCATCGCTCTGTGCTGTGGGGGCAGAGCCAGGGCAGCCGCACTGTGTGCGGGGACGGGGGCTCAGTGCTGATCTCCAAGCACGTGGCCTGGCTTGGCTGCGGCGCAGCAGAGAGCAGACAACGGGCAATCGAATTGGCCTGAAAAAACCCAACCTAAACCCAAAACCCAAGGAGCGAAGCATCGGATGTGTTTGAAACCAGGGACGGGGAGGATTTGGGCTGTGGGTGAACCACTGAGCTGCTGGTGGAAGTGCCAGGGGGGGACGTTTGAGCGTGTGGAGGCAGGTGGCTGCTTTGGTGCGCTCTTGGTGCGCACCAGTGACCTCCAGTGTGTCCCCAGTGAAGCTGGGATGCCGTTACTGGGTGTTCGTGATGAGGGCAGGACTCACTGTCCTCTCTGCTGGAGGTCTCGGGGTTGTCCTGGTCTCTGTCCTCCAGTGCTAAGAGGACATGAAGCAGCCAGCCAGGCTCTTGGGGTCCGTATTTGCAAGCCCTGCAGCACCCGGAGCCGCCTGGGGTGGGAGAGGCTCCCCCGGGACCCCACGACCTCCGGGCTGGGGCAGCTGCCCTGAGCTCAGCTATTTCACTCTTTCTTACCTGATAAGTTAAAGTTGTATTTCTTCCAATCATGCTCCCTGGGACAGGCACAGGTAGTTTATTTAATCATTTCTTCTTTTCTTTTTCTTTTAATTTTTACCATTAAACTCCCCTCCACTGTTGTTAGCACACTAACCAACCCCGAGAGGACCAAGCATGAGGGAGAACAGTTTTTTGGGGATCCTTTGTAAACCTTTGCAGCCAGAGCTGCCACTAATCCCACGCTGCCAGTGTCGTGATCCGCACACGTCTCCAGCGCTGTCAGAGGCCGTTCCAGGGAGGCTTTGCCACCAGTCCCCAGGTTGTCCCATCGCCCAACCCGGCAGGGACCTTTGCTTTGCAGCATTTTCCTCCCACCGGGCGATTTCTACCCAAACCCCGAGACCTGTGCGATCACTCCACCACAAGCCCCTTCTCCTGAGACGTTTTATCCACATAACTCATCATATTCCCCATTCCAGCCATTGGTTTCAACATGTCTCCATCCTTTGCTTTAGAAAAGGGAGCATGCTTCTGTGGTCTCTCCTGCAGGCAGCTAAACGTCCCCGGCTTTGGGCTGGAGCTTGTCCTGCTCTTGGCTACTTACACCTCCCGGGACTTTAATTTTGGTGTATGCCGTGTTCTCTTTTTCCACCCCTTTTTGAAAGTAAAACCTTTTCTTGTCCTAGCAGCAAAAGAGCCAGAGGCGTGCATGTGGCTTTGCAGGGCAGTGGGAAGCACTAATAGAGAGGTCCCAGCCCTGACCTGACATGAGACATCCATCCCATCTCTCCTGACCCTTCTTCCCATCCCCTTAGGGCAGCAGCATCCTCCTGACGTCTCTGTTCAACCCCTGAGACCCCAGCGTAGCTCTCGCAGGCCAGCGGTGGGGTGGGGGGTGCCAAAATGCTTGGGAGAGACCCTTCTCTCCCCTGCCCCAAGCAACCCGGCCTCCATCCTTCTTTCTGCCAGGACGAGAAGGAGCAGCTCATTCAGTCCAAGAGCTCGGTCGCCAGCCTGGTGGGACGCTCCAAAACCATCGTTCAGCTCCGGCCCAGGAACCCGGAGCACCTCGTGAAGAGCACGATCCCCATCAAGGCCGTCTGTGACTATCGACAGATCGAGGTGAGGGCTGAAGGGCATCGCTTTGGAAGGGGAGGCAGGGGAGCAAAGCCCGTGACGGTTTAGGATCAGCTCTGTGGTGTCTGTCACTGGAAAGCAGGAGCAGAGTGGGAAGATAAAGGAGGGCAATAGCACAGCTGCTCTTCCTGGAGCAGATTTCCAGATTTATTCTGGGCAGGAGCTAAAGTCCCTTTCCCCCCATCAGCCTCAGCCAAATTAGCACGTGGGTGGTAGCCAACTCCGTTTAACTTCCTTGTCCCTTCCTCTCCAGACACGAGCGTGCTGCACTGCTTGGCACTACACCAGGCTGTTGCTTGATTAAAATATAGACAGATACATTTATTTCTGGATGCTGGCAGTAAGGGCAGGCATGCACAGCCCCGCTGCTGGGTTCTGATGGGCTGGGTGGTGGTGGTGGTGCCGTTGCAGATCACCATCTGCAGGAATGACGAGTGCGTCCTGGAGGACAACTCTCAGAGGACCAAGTGGAAGGTGATCAGCCCCACGGGCAACGAGGCCATGGTGCCCTCCGTCTGCTTCCTCATCCCCCCGCCCAACAAAGAGGCCATCGAGATGGCCAACAGGTGACTGGCAATGGCAGGGAGAAGGGGTTGGTGGCACGGGAGGGGACAGATCTGGGGTGGGAATGGGAGGAGAGGAGCTGGGGTGGAGGAACAGGACTGGGTGGGTGGCACAGCTGATTCAGGGTGAGAAAAGGGATCCCTCGTGGTTATGCAGCTGCAAACTCCACCGTAGCAACTGCTGCAGTAGCTTGCAAAGGAGAAAACAATAATTTGGGATGAGGGATTACTGTGATTATTTCAAAGAATTTAGGACATTTTTGTTGCACTTTAGTACCAGTTTTAAATGCCATAGGTTTCCTTTCTGGTCCCTTTTGGGGGATCCCTGGTGCTGAACAGCCACAGCATCGCAGGCTGCTGGGCTGGGATCGCTGCCTTGGTGGGGTGGTGGATCAACAAGGTTAGGGCTGAGTGTTTTGGAGTGCTCCAGGACTGACAAATCTGCTTCTGCCCCTCACAGGGTGGAACAGTTGTACCAGAAAGTGATGGCTCTCTGGCACCAGCTCCACATGAACACCAAGAGCCTCATCTCCTGGAACTACCTGAGAAAGGACATAGCCCTGGTGCAAAGCTTCAGCATGGAAAAGGTACGGTAGGAGCTGCTCAGCCCGGGTCCAGGGCTGCTTCACCCCCTGTCCGGGCTTCTTCATGCAGCTGGAGGAAAGGAAGGGGTAAAGGGAAGGTCAGGGGCTGCAGTGTTGGGAAGCTGAGGGTCTTTGCACCTTGAAGAGTGGGAAACCTGAGCTTGGAGGTTCTGTGGACTCAGCATTTTGTTAGGAAGTGAGCAAGGCTGGAGGAGCTTGCCTTTTCTTCTCTAAAGAGAAAACTCTTGGCAGCCGGAGGTGATTGAGCCGGGGAGGGTGGCTCCAGGTGAGGAGTAGGAAGTTGTTCCCGGTGGTTACGTGTGCGGCTTTTCCACTCGCAGCTCCGATCCCTGGCGCAAGGGGAGTGCCAGCAAGCCCTGAAGAGCCTCCAGGCGCACTACGAGGACTTCCTGCAGGACAGCCGCGACTCGGAGCTCTTCTCGGTGTCGGATCGACTGCGCCTGGAGGAGGAAGTGGAGGCGTCCAAGGAACACATCCGGCAGCTGCTGGAGTCCATGGAGAACGGTGAGCTTCCCAGGGCTGATGGATTAACCAGGAGCTGCGGGACTCATAAACAAAGGATTTATGAGATGGCTTCAGTTTCTTTTATTCCTGAGCTGGTTGGTGGTGTGAGCAGCTGCTCTCCTTATTTCTCCATCCATTCAAGCGCTCGGCCTCTGTCCAGCGATGTTCCTGCAGGGAGGGCTTGGCTTTGCAGCTTCAGCTCAGCTGCTGCGTCCTTTTACCCCAGTAGCATTGGAAATGGATTTAGTCATTGGGATGCACGTTGAGCAAGGAGTTCTTCCTGCATTTAATCTTGAAGAAAGTACCTGTGGCAGTGATGTGTGACACAGCAGCACTGTGAGTCCCGCTGAGAGTGGGGGCTTTGTCACCAAGGTGCCCTGTGGCTGGACTCGTTCTCCGCTGTGTTTCAATGAGATGATTTGATTTGATTAACTTGTTTTCCGTCTGAGCAGGTCCCATCTGGGGCAGATACCGGCCGGGGTTGGTTTTGAGCTGTATTTTTGGTTTGTCTGTGACTCGCAGAAGACAAGGATGAGACCGTCGCCAGGACGTACCTCTCCGAGCTGAAGAACATCCGTCTGCGCCTGGAGGAGTGCGAGCAGAGGCTCGTGAGCCGAATCCAGTCCCCGAGCAGCGCCCGAGCAGACGGTGACACCATCCAGGAAAACACCATCCGCATTGCGGAGCAGGAGGTCAGCGCTGCTGCTGGGAGATGGCCAGGGAGGTGGTGGCTGCTGGTCCTTAGCATACAAAAAAATAGCTTTTAACGCCTCCAGGGTGCACGTGTGGGTGGTGAGTGTGTGGCTGTGTGGGATTTGAGAGGACCTTGCTGCACGAAAAGTATCAGGAAACCTCTCCAGTTGGGCTCCCTGCCTCATTTCATCCCCATCTCCTTTGCCACGGGCAATCCTGCTTTTCCTCCACCTGCTTGGGCTCTCCTTTCACGTCCTTCCCCTTCCTCCCACAGCGCATGCAGGAGGATCTGCAGCGGGTGCAGTCGGACCTGCGCTTCGTTTCCGAGAGATGCTACAGCTTCCTCGAGAAGGCGCCCGCGGGCTCCAGCACGCCCCAGTTGCGTTCTGAGCTTGACCTGGTGGTGAACAAGATGGACCAGATGCACGGGCTGTCCTCCATCTACCTGGAGAAGTGAGTTGGGATGCGCCTCTGCTCCCAGATACCTTTTAGGATTTGCCTGGTTCTGCTCGCAAACTTTCTTCTGGCCTTATAACTCACCTTGCGCTGAGCTCCATCCCTCCATGGCACACGGGGCAAACAGCCTCGCTGTCAAGAGGATCTCTGCCAAATCGTGGATGTCATTGTGCTGCCTCTGTTCGATTTGCCAGGTTGAAGACGGTTGATATCATTATCCGCAACACCCAAGGAGCAGAGTCCCTGGTGAAAGGGTACGAGGTTAAGCTGAGCCAAGAGGAAGCTGTCCCCGCCGACCTGGCGGCCATTCAGTCCCACAGAGTGGCCTTACAGGTTGGTGATCACTTCCCCAGAAACCAGCCAGCGCTTTGACGGTTGTCGAGCATTTGTTCCCTTTCTCTGCTGGATTTGCACTGTATGCCGTTTTTCTTGCCTGGGTGTAGCTGTCAGGATGATTTTGTGCTGCTTGTGTGATCCCGTATTGCTCTGTAAAGGTAAAGGAGCCGCTGTGGCTTGTGCACTCTTGCAGAGCATGTGCTGACACATGTGAGCATCTCTTGGCAGCTACGTTCTGTTGCTGTAGGACAGGGCTGATCCAATCTGACTCGCTCCAAGCTGGGGACATGGTTCCCTTCATTTTGCACCTCCTGTAATCACCCAGTTCTTTTCAGGTTAAGGAGAAAGGGAGGATAAACCCCATCTCAGGAGTATCAGATCCAGGCAGGAGGGCATCTCTGACTTAAAGTGCATTTTGTTCTCCGTGGCATTGAACCAGAGCTGTCTCTTGGTTTTGCAGCAATGGCTCGGGGAAGTGAAGGACAAGAGCTCTGTCTTCTCCACGTTGGAGGAGGAGATGGCGAAGGCAAAGGAGGTGGGAGAGCAGCTGTACCGGCTGAGACAGGAGCGCAGCATTGACCTGGAGCGCTATCAGGAGAAGGGCAGCCAGCTGTGGGACCGCTGGCAGCGAGCCTGCACACAGATCGAGACCCGGTGAGAAACCTCGTGTCCAGTTCTGCGCCCTCAGGTCAAGAAGGACAGG